TATCGTCAATCACGAACTATTCCAAACACCCAAATCAAAATAATTTAAGGTTAAAATAGTTTTTAACTATTAATTTTTAACAGGTTGATAAACGTGTCATGTATACATGTTTAAACACAATAACACAATTAATTAAACGTGTTTAAACGTGTTACTTGTGTTTGACATGTTAAGACACGAAAATTTTTGTGTTTTAAAATGTGTCAGATACGATTAGACGTGAAATATGTTAAGACTAAACCTAAATCTGTTTAACTCCGTGTCTTCTCGTGTTGTGTTAACATGTCGTGTCCAAAATTGCCAGGTCTACTTTGTTCTGTTCCGATAACAAGATTGTCTAAGTACCCTTATTTAAACCTTTGCAATTTGAGCCCTCTTGAACTAAACAACTGTTAAATGGGGGAATGCGATTGCCAAAATGTTTCGTAGAACCATGCAACTTTCACATGATTCCGATTTTTATTTTAAATTAAATTACGACATGATTGTTTTACATTTGCAGTTAGAGGCCTGTATCCATCCATTTTTTGATGAACTTCGCGATCCTAATGCTCGCCTTCCTAATGGGCGCCCCTTGCCTCCACTGTTCAACTTTAAACCTCAAGGTTTGTCACTTTTTCCACTTCTATTTTTTGAATGAAAACACATGAAAATTTTTGATTGCTGAATCCTTCTCTTTCCAATGATGACACTGCAGAGCTGAAAGGAGCGAGTTTGGAGCTTCTGGCCAAGCTAATACCAGAACATGCTCGAAAGCAATGCCCCTTCCTTGGCTTCTAAATCGAAAGACCTATCTTCATAGGTGCAAAGGAATTGTGTTACTGTACCTTATTTATCTTCCATGTTATCTAAATGACTAGCCTGTTTCTTCCCTTGAATTTCAACCAGACAGTGTGGACTTCAGAGGCTGCTGTATTTTGCTTTGGAAATGCAAACATTATGTTGTTAGGGCTCTTAAATTGCAGCAAATGGTTGGAATCTGTAATTGTGGTTTGCAAGTATAATCTCTGTAGTATTTTCATCTAATGTACATTTGACATACACCTGCCTTGTTCTGTTTCTTCCCTGCACCGATGAACTTGGTTACGATTGGGGTATTTACTGGGTAAAGAGACATGTGATGCTCAGTGCTCTGTTCCAAGCCGTTGGTTGTGAATAAATGTGTTCTTCCATGACCTTCCATCAATGGTTGGACCTTGAGTTAACAATTTTTAACACAATCAGCAAAATGGTTACGCTTGTGTTTGTCAAATGTACTTATTTCTTGCATTCTTTGTACGGTCTATGTTTTCTCTCAGATTCTTGGGTTTCCAACTTCAAATGCCTCACCTACCCTTAGGGAAATTGTGAGACTCTCCTTTGTGGCAATCCTAATTAGAATATAATCAGCCTTACTGACAAACCAAGATAACACTATCTCCCAGTTTCCATCTCCTCGATCAATTTGCCTAGAATCAAAATTTCTAGTGCTTATGTTGCTGTCAAAAGATCTTCTGCGCCCTCGGTGTCTATAGCCTCTGAGTCTTCCCAGCTTCCCTTCGTCAGTTCCATTCAGTTCCGCACAGCTCGGCAGTTAACAGTCTGAGGGCAGGACAGAACCTCAATGAAATTTCTCTCGGTGTCTTCAGAGCCATGCATGATGCAACCAAAGACTGACCCGTGAGGCATCTTGATCCTTGAACAACACTCAAAAGCATCATGTTATAGAGAATCTCGTCTATTTATTTATCTCATTCATTTTTATATAATTTATAATTCTAAATATAAAATTTCTCTTCTCGTAACATGAAATCAAAGTCGTTTTTATTTATTTTTTATCATTTTTAAAAATTCTATCTCAATAATGTCTTGTCTAAGTCATATCTTTTTTCACCCAAAAAACACTACCAGCTAGCATCCATCTAACTTCACAACCACTATACCACCATTACCCTTTTACGAAAAAGCAATTCGATGTTACCCCATTGCCTGAAATCATTAGAAATTGCCATGCACACTCTATACCATTTTATTTTTTTCATAACATTGTATCAAAGTCTTGTCTATTTTCTGTTATTTTGTCAAAATTCTATGTCAACAGTGTCCTGACCAAGTCTTATCTTCTGTTACGAATAAAATACAATCAGCTAGCATCCATGTGTCATTACAACTGCGTGATCGTGTTTGTTGTTTCCTTAGTTTGGGTTTGAACACAAGGGGTTTGAGATCCTATTTCAAATAGGTTACTAATTCTAGGCATGTAAAGTTTTGGGAGAACCTGTTACTCTTTCAAATAGGTTAGTCAGTAATTGAAATGAAAGATCTTGGCTCTCTTAGTTATTTCTTGAGGCTTGAAGCATCTTTCAACCATGATGGCTAGTATTCTCTCAATCTAAGTATGCATTCTGGTTACTTTCTCAAGCTAACATTATTGCAATACTATCTCTCCCGTGTCTTGGACTCTAATGCTAAACTTACTCTAATAGATGATACTCTTCTTTGTGATTTTCACTTATATTGTCAACTTGTTGGGAGTTTGATCTATTTTACAGTCACTCAATGCGATATTGCTTTTGTTGTTCATATAATCAATCAATTTACGAAAGATCATTGTTCATCTCAATTTTTATTTATTTATTTCTTTTTTGTATTCTTTGTCATGTCAAAGGCACACTCAGACATATTGAGATTGATTACCATGTTATGAATTTACTCAAGGGACTTTCCATCATAGTCTTGTGTCCTCTTCAAATCAAATTGTTGATATTTTTACTAAAACCCATTTTCCTGGACGGTGTCAAGACTTGGTTTCCAAACTTAAAACGGCATCTGTTATATCCCCTTTAAGTGGCTAGGTAGAGAATACCTAGGGGTTCAAGGCAACTCTCTCCTGTATTATTGAGAATCTTTTCTATATATTCTATATATTTTTATAAAGTTCACAATTTAGAATAAAAGATTGATTAAAGATATAATCAAAAACTTATTATAAGAAAGGATTTTTGTATTTAAGAAATTATTTATATCAAATTAAAGAAAAGATAATGCATTAAATATAATTTTTTTTCTTTATATATCATCTTAATATGTAATTGTAGCATTAATAAACCAGGCCAAACAAGCATGTCTTTATTATTTCTCCATCATGACCAAGTCCACTATTCCATTACACTTTCTTCCTATAGAAAGTCTTAAGAATATTTAAAATATAATCTGAATTTTCCTTTCACGCACCAACTTTATTTCACTTCAGTAATATAAAATTTAGTGAAATATCAAATTTAGTCCTTTCCTAATTGTATTTTTACCACCACAGAATCCCTTTTCTGATTTACTCATTTACTCCCTTTGTCACTTACTTAGTATATAACCCTTTACCATATTGAAGGGGCCAGCCTAGCATGTTCATGCAAATGGAATGAATAACCTATGACCCTTTCACATAGTTAGACTGATTCAACTTGTCACACACATTTGGTGAATGATCCATAAAGAATGTCAACAAAATTTAAATGATTTTAACATATTATTTATTATTATTATTCAAAAAGTAATATTATAATTAATACGTTAAATTCAAAATTTCATTTGAAAGATCGAGAAAGGTATGTAAATTAGGTCAATCGATGCATTGATATTCAATGGATGGTGGAAACCAACTCGATAGTACTGTGAGTTGACTTTTATACTCTTATTTTGAATTTAAAATATATTATATAAAAACTATTGTAAAATGATAAAATTAATAAATAATTTATATAATTTCTTATAGTTTTTAATCTTTTTTAAGTGTTAGATTCTTGAAATTTATAGATATTAATAAAGATTAGTTAAATTTTTTTTGTTTAATGTATTATTATCATCAAATTCAAGAATAACTAATATATTGATTATAATTTTATTAATAAGTATTATATTAATAAATACCTATATATATCTTTAAAATTTTTATTATTTAATTTATTTATTTTATTTTAATAATTAATAATTATGATTTATATAAATTAACGGTTACGATAAAATAAATAAAAATATGAATAAGTATACTACATGTGTACAACTTGCATGAATATTTAATGGAGAGTGGAAACCAACTCAGCATTGTTATGAATTTACAATTTTACCCCTACTTATTTTTTCAAAGCAAAAGTGAGAATCTAGCACAATGATAAAGGAAAAAGTAAGGTTAGGCAGACATGATCACGTGCTGTTCTTGAAACTTTAAGGGCGTGTTTGGTTCGAGAAACATATTTGATTTATTAAATTTGAATGGCGTTAATAGAATATTTTTATTATTATTTTATTATAAAAATTATATTGTATCATTTTCCTTAATGAGCAAGACAATATCATCCTTTATTTTCATTGAAACATAAATAAGAATTAATTTTTCATTATAATTAAAATGAATTTTAGACATTCAAAACCTTTAAAGCTTTAAGATCTTAATGTTTTCCTATTCTTCAAGTTGAAAATAAAAAAGTAATCTTTTAACCACCCACCCAGTATTCTTATTATCTTATACCAATCGGTTTATTTTTCCTTTAAATTATGTTATAAAAACTATTTAACTATTCATAAATTTTAATTTTAAATTTTCAGTAACCAAACATATCCTAAATCTAAAAAGACTTCTCTTTCATTTGTACGTCTTGTCAGTTTGCAACAAAAGAAGAGAAAAGTTCATTTCACACGCATATATATATTTATTATTTTATTTTTAATTTATACTAAGCAATTCACTGAAATAATTGCGAAAGTTCGTTTGAAAATCAAAATTAAAAATCAAAATCATATCCAAAAAGGTAAAAAATTTATTGATAATTATAAAATAATTATTACTATGAGGAAAATCTTAATCAATTTAATTCAATTAAATCGAGTATCTAGTTTATATAAGCAACGACCTTAGCGGTAGCACGAGTGTTCCACACGACCCACCCAGCAAAACCACAAGAAAAGCTGCAAATTTTTACTGCGTTACGAGTTACGACGGGGAGTAGTCGAATACTGTAAAAAAGTGATTGCACCATCGCGTGAGATTTTATTTACCATTTTATTTACTGCCCCTCAAAAAAATTGCGATTCCCGCAGCAAATAGACTAGACTCTGTCGCTCCCTCTATTTCGTTGCGTCTCTGTTTTCTTTCTCTCTCTCAAAAACGATTCAAAACTAATTCACTGTTGAAAGCTAAAACCTCCATTTTTTTTCTCAATCCTTTTAGATTTTTGCATGCCTTAGCTCTGCTGTAAATTAGGTGCAAATCTCCATTTTTATCATCGTTTTGGAATTTTTTTACCGCGCGGAAGACTTTTTGTTGAGGAGATGAACTGCATTATCGTATTTCGCTAAGAAAGTTTCGGGATCAGATTTATATTCTCCGTTTTGGATTCGTTGAAGTAAGTGTTTTTCGTTTAACGAATTGATCCGTTGCGTTAATTACTGCTTGTTTCCGTTGATTCGAGAGTTTGTTATCGGTTAACTATAGGATTAGGCGTTTCGCTAATGCGTTTTCTTTTCTCTCTCTTTTTCTTGCTATTCCTGTTTGGTTGCCGAGAAACGACTTGTTTTTGCTGCTTAAACTAAGTTTTATACTTCGTTTTTTCTTGTTTAGTTTCTCAGCTATGAAAGAGGAGTCAAATTTTGGCATCGAATATTGTGCAGACGGTTTATTTGTCGATCACATATCTGTATTATATACTAATTTCGATGTTTTTAATATAATAATATTTAATAGAAATGAGGTTTATAAATTATATTTTTATCTTTTATCTTTTTTTCTTTTAAAATTTCCTCTAATAAGCTAATTTAAAAATATTATTTGTTTATTTTTATTATTTTTTTCTGATTTTTGATCTTTTTCTTGTTTCTTGAGATGTAAGAAGAGAGTATTACGACTCGAACTTATAATTTCTGCATAGACTTTTGGAGGTTTAGTATACAAAACATTTTACTCTCTTGTTGTAGATAATGTCCTTTTGGGGTTCTTTAAGCTCTTGGTAATGTAGATGATTAAGCCTCCTTGTGTTTAACTTGGTCAAATGGCTAGAAGTAAAATATCTTGTGGTTTTAGTTGTTGATTGTGAAGATTGTCGAAAAGGGACCTTGAACTTACATAGATTACCAAGGATATGGTTGTTTCTAGGTAAATAAAAAAGGCTTAGTTTATTGTTGCAGTTATATTTCTCTAGGAGATTGACTGAGTTTCAAGCCTTTATCAATATTACCAAATTCCATATGCAAGGCATGGATAATTTACAAGTGGCTTGGCTGTTGATAAATTGTTTAATTTTATGGTTTTATAGTTGATATTTTGCCCTAGCTTCTGACTTATCTTCATTTGTTTCTTTTGCAGGTGGAGAAACTTTTCTTGGGCTGTACTATAGCTCAAGAAAAATGGTAATCTTTAGTTTTATTCTTTTTTCTTTCAAAATTTTTGTGCTGTCATTTTAATATCTTTCCTATATTTCTTAACAAGTTCTCATTTATGAACGAGACGTAGTTTTATTATTAGGCTGATTAAAAGAAAGGAACATGATTATTCTTTAATTATAAATTCTTTTTTTTTTTTAATGTATTCTGATATCATGCATGGTGTGTTCATCTGTAACGTGTGCAGAATAGTAACAGTTCTGGTGGAGGTGGTGATAATTTTGACTGGGATACTGAAGATGAGCTGGAAATTGATAATTATGCCATCGCCTCCCACTCAGGGGTGACAATTCCTACTGGAGAAGCTGTTTTGGGCTCAGCAGAGGTACATGCTCATATGTAATTAGTGCACATGCCATTCTGGAATAGTGTTGCAGTTGCAGCACTAATGAGGAATTTACTTGCAAATAGTTTTAATTATTGCAAAGATGGTGTATGATGGAATTTTCTTTGATTTGTAATTTTCAAAGAAATGTTATAGATTTGGTAAGTGATCAATAATTGATGAGTTCCTATGGGAATTAGTTTAATTAATGGAGCATTAGCTGACCTTTTAGGCAATTTTTACTGGAGGCCTCTGCAAATTTGCCTCTACTTTTCATGTACTGCTTTCTGAACTTTTTCTTCTGTAAGGAGCTTGAATCTGTCATTGGTAGTCAGTTTAGTTGGTGATATAACTGATGTGCTTGGCTTAAATTTTATTGATTAGCCTCCAGTGCGGTAAAAATTTTGCATTTATTCAGTGAGCACCCTTTTGACTTTGGCATCTACCCTAATTATGCTCAAATATGCTACCTATATTTGCAGACAATTAATCTTCTCTCTTTTAGTTACTTGAAACTTTTCCAGGCATATAATGGTGAAGAAAATGTAATTTTGTAACTAACTCATAGTTAACTTTTACTGTCTCAAGGCAAGTCTGTCTGCAGATTCTTCCAATTCCAAGGTAATTGATCATTTTGTAGGAATGGGGTTTTCGAAAGAAATGGTTGCCAAAGCAATTGAAGAAAATGGTAAAGCTTCTTGGTCGTTTTTACTTAAAAGCACAAGTTTCAACCTTAAACTTGCTTATAATTCTGCTTTGACTATTGTCCAGGAGAGGAAAACTCAAATTTGATACTTGAAACTCTCCTTCAGTACTCGGTGAGTTCCAAGATGCTTATAGGTTACATGAATCATGACGCTAAAAAGTTGCTGCACATGCTATTGGCAGAATTTTTACTGTTAAATTTAGTGTAATGCAGATTTTATAACAATATTAATACTTGATTCCCCTTTTTGGTTTGAAGGCAAGCTCATCGCCTAGTTCTTCCAACTCCAAATTGATAGATCATTTTGTAGGGATGGGTTTCTCTGAACAAATGGTTATCAAAGTGGTTCAGGAAAACGGTAATGGTCCTTTTTCATTTGATTAGACATCAGTTTTCACCTCAACAGATCTGTGATCCTGCTCTCTATATCTTCAGGAGAGGGAAATACAGATTCCATATTGGAGACTCTATTGACATATTCAGTAAGTTAGACACCTTAACCTTGTTTCTAGTCCATTTGTTTAGTGGGCATTTTTCTGAAGCACAGATTTGTATGGGAGAAAAACCAGTTTGTTTGAATAGGAATCTTGATTTTGATGCAATAGCAAATGTACATATTCAATGGTTTAGGCGATATTTGCAAATCTTCGCCAAGTAGAATTGTCTTTGCAAGTTGGTGGAGTATCATGCAAGGGAGTTGTTTGCCCTCTCTGTGCTGTCATGAATGACCTGTTTAAAATTTTCAGGCCCTTGAAAAACCTGCTCCCATGCAGCAACATGCCGATTCTGGTAACTGCTCATCAGATTATGAAGGGAGCTTTCTGGATGACTTTTCAGATATTTATAGTTCTTCTGAGACTGAGGTATCTAAACTTTAATGTTGCATTTATTATTTCATTTGCTCAATTTTTAGACATATCTATTTTAGTTTTAAAGAGCTGCTGTGTTTTTTATTTTACTAGCTGCATGGATGAATAGAATGTGGTCTTCAGTCATTGCATTTGCATTTATATAGATGCTGTAATCTAGCTACTGAATAATTATCCATATTACAGAATAACAGAATTTTTAATCACAGTTTACTTGCAGATGATCTGTGCGTGTTTTTGCTTTTTATATTTCTATGTTCCAGGAATTCATGAATCCTGATTCTGATGAGGAGAGTAAATTGTTGTTCTTGACGAAAATGGGGTACTCAGAGGCGGAGGCTTCAATAGCCATGGAGAGATGTGGTATGTGTTTCTTTGCACGTTATTCTCGCTGATAGTATTGATTATCAAAGTTTCAGTTGGAAAGGAAAAGAATCCCAGGAAGTTCAACCGTATTTACCTGTATGTATTGAAGATGCTGAACTTTCATATTTGTCATTTTACCTAAGGAAGAAAATAAGTTGTTGTTTTTTGTTCTACTGCAGAATCTAATGTAAAGGCCAAGTATTATATTTTATTATTCATGATTATTAGGTGTCCAAATTGCAACTTCCAAAGCCCGTGGATGGTTTGAGCATTTTAGACAAAAGGAATGAATTTGCTCCAGTGGGTTGTAGAGAAACCCAAGTGTTAAGCTGTGAACATTTTAGGTAGCAACCTTGGGCTTCAAATTATATAGGAGAAGATTTTTGTGATACTTATAGGTGTAATCCTAGGGCCTTATCTAAGTTGTAAGAGGTGGGGCGTAGTTGTTACATCAGATCATACCTTAACATTAACTCTTTAAATATTTCAGGTCCAGACTCCTCAATTGCAGAGTTGACAGACTTTATATGTGCCGCTCAAATGGCCAAGGCTGCTGATGCACTTTTTCCCCTTGAAGACAAGGTAGGTTTTTTCTCCATTCTAAGAATTTCTAAATCTTTTGTAGTTTGTTCTTTTCTCATTTCCTTTCAATTAACAGTATATGTCAATTTGCTTTAGTTTTCCTTGTATTATTTTCAGTAAAATTTACACCAATAATTTTCCTTCCAATTTAACAGAAGCCATTCTGCAATGACTCTAATCACAAAAAGAGGCGAAACTTGGACTATGATTTGTGGAAAAGGAAGAAGCAGATGAAGCTTCAAAAGAGGCTTCTTGATGGAGCTGAAGATGCGCTTCATCTTCCAAATCCAATGATTGGTTTTGGGGTCCCAACTGATATAGACCAGATAACTCATAGAACACTTCCAGAAACTGCTATTGGGCCTCCTTACTTCTACTATGAGAATGTTGCACTCGCTCCAAAAGGGGTTTGGCAAACCATTTCACGTTTCTTATATGATATGGAGCCAGAGTTTGTTGATTCAAAGTATTTTTGCGCTGCTGCAAGGAAAAGGGGCTATGTTCATAATCTGCCTTTGGAGAACAGATTTCCCCTTCTTCCATTTCCACCTCGCACCATACATGATGCTTTTCCATTAACCAGGAAATGGTGGCCTTCTTGGGACACAAGAACAAAGTTGAACTGCTTACAAACATGCACAGCAAGTGCAAAATTGACAGACAGGATCCGCAAGGCACTTGAAAATCTTGGTGATGAGCCACCTTTGACTGTCCAAAAGTTTGTTCTTGAAGAATGCCGAAAGTGGAATCTGGTCTGGGTTGGAAGGAATAAGGTTGCACCACTTGAGCCTGATGAAGTGGAAATGCTTTTGGGGTTCCCTAGAAACCACACAAGGGGAGGAGGAATTAGTCGGACTGATAGATATAAATCACTTGGTAACTCGTTCCAGGTGTGTCCCTGCTTTTTTATGTCCTTTGGCAAATCCTTGTGTAATACCAGTTTACAATATGTGAATGTCATCAATGTAGCAAACTCTGTTACATGCACTTGGCATTTAAGGTCACCGTACTTGTATGGGTATGTGTCTGACATGGCTTTGAAGATATGGATGTGCCCTTTTTGCCCTTTGCCTAGCTACTGTTGCGATAGGAAGAAGAAGAAGAAGATGGGAGAAATGGACGGAGGGAGAATTTTGTGACTGGGTCTCATGACTTAGAATAAAAGGAGAGCAACATCCAGCACATAAAAGAAAAAGAGGAGAGATTAGGTTAAATTAAGGCTTTCGTTTAAATTTTGCATGGCTTAGAATAAAAGGAGAATAGTGTTCAGCACAGAAAAGAAAAGGAGAGATTAGGTTTAAGTTAAGGCTTTCTTTAAAATTATTACGAGGGGTTTAAAGAATTTTCTTTTTGTTTTTGGATAAGGGTAAATGAAAAGAAATCTTATTTATATAAAGTATTACACACACACACACACACACACACAGACACACACAGATATATAAATATCCACGTTCCTTTATTTTACTTTTGGATCATCCTTAGCTGACTCCACAAGTCCAAAATTTCAAGCAAAAAGCAAGTCAGACACCTGGATACATACCATTTTCAGATGCTCATAACCGACTCCATGTATCTTAGGTTGCAAATAATTTTAGAATGCTAAGTGTTTAAACATTTCAAGTAATAACTAAATTTGAATTAATTCTTTCTTTTTTGCTTTTCCCATGTTATTTCTTACCTTTTCGGGATAATTCTTTGGTCTCAAGATACATGAAGTTCATGCTTGGGGTGCTATGCTTATACAATAACTTATTTCAGGTTGACACAGTGGCTTACCATCTCTCAGTTTTAAAAGACATGTTCCCTGGTGGTATCAATCTCCTATCGCTTTTCTCTGGGATTGGTGGTGCAGAGGTCGCCCTCCACCGGCTTGGTATACCTTTGAAGAATGTTGTATCAGTTGAGATATCAGAAGTAAATAGAAATATCGTTAGGAGTTGGTGGGAGCAAACAAATCAAAAAGGGACTTTGATTGACATACCAGATGTGCAACAACTGAATGGTGATCGTTTAGAGCAATTGATGAACACATTTGGTGGATTCGACCTTGTTGTTGGTGGGAGTCCGTGTAATAACCTTGCAGGTAGCAACAGACATCATCGAGACGGACTTGAGGGTAAAGAATCTTCCCTCTTCTTTGATTATTGTCGTATACTAGAACTGGTTAAATGTATATCGGCAAGGAATCAATGATTTCATTTGAAGGAGGTTAGTTATGGATACTTGCTTCAAAATTATTTTTCCTTGCATCCTCAATATTGTCTGAACATAAAATTGGAATAATGATGGACATTTTTTCCAAACTCATGTTTAGCATCAAATTCAAAGGGAAATGAATTGTTTAAAATTGATGGGAAAGTTGTTGGATATAGTTTTGACTAATATATTTGTCATTGTGTGTCTTTCCATTTTACTTGAGTATGCTCATGGTTTGAAGCATATGAAGCATGAACCATTTGTGTGTTATGCCACCCAAAAGGCTATTATTAATTAAGATTCCACTTTCCTTCATATCAGAAGATCATATTGGTTGTTGTAGATGAGCTGGTGGACTTGTGCTATAAGTGTGATGTGTTATTCTGTCCTCTGCCCTAGATTAGGAAAGATATGCTGTGTATTTGTTATATCTGTCTGCTGAGGTTGGACAAATGCTGTCGAGGCTTTCTATTTGCCTCTTGTTCTCTGATGTGGAATCGAACGTGTGTTTCTGTCGGTTCCTCAGAGGAGAAAAATGCTTTATGGTAAGATTGTCTTGTTTTGTCGGGATGATAAAACGAACACGAACAGTAGCGAGGAAATGGTTGTAGTTTTAAGTTTCTTTTTACTCTTTCTAAGATCATGGTTCATATGATCTTGTTCAGAAACTGGTTCAGCAAATTTTAGCAGTATTTGTTTCATAGGCTGGAAGCTGAGCCTGTAGCTTTCCTGGCCTGGGATTCTCACCACCACTGCCGCAACTCAAATATTCTCAAAGAGCAACTGCAGCCTAAATGGGCTTGGGATTTGAATAGGCCTAAAGAAAGTTGCTTGTGCCTTGGCGCGTGACTTTGTTCTCACGTCGGCTGGGCTTCTATTTCTCGAAAACAAAATGACGACATGCTTGCTTGAATCAGAACCCACACGCAATCGATTCCTGTCTTTGTCCTAACCTTGAGGGAAATTGGAGTCAAATCATAGGTTATTCCCAACAAATAAAATTTTTATTTACGAATCCAATAAGCATAATCCCAAGAATATGTTAATTATATGATGTGAAGATTAGTACAAAAGCAATAAATAATTATAAATATATTAAATAAAAGCAACATTTAATTTTTCCAAGTTTAGGTAAGATTTTAGTTACGACAATGGAAAAAAAAGTTGTCTTTTCCTAAACAAGAAACATGGTACACCTTTGTTGGCAAATTCATTTGAGGATATATTCACATAAAAAAAGCCAGGTGTCCATGTGCATATAACTTCGATTTTAACCACGGTCAAATTTTTCATATATTATATTATTGATTTACAATTTTATAATATTTACTATTTATAGTAAATTTTAAGTTTTGAATATTTGACTTATAATTTTCTAGAAGATTAAAAGATGCACCCAAAACGTTATTTACATAAATTATTTGTAATATTTATTTGATGCATAATAAATATTTTTTAATACATAAAATAAAAATAAAATAATTTTTTTTAAAAGAATAGTTAGTTGCTATAAATATCCACCTTTGATCTTCCTCTTTCTTCTCCTCCTCGTCTCACGTTCTCTCTCTACCCTTTTCTCTTCCCATCATAAGACACAGCAAAGAGAGAAGATAGAGAGAGAAGGATCCAAGAAGAGGCCAAAAAGAAAAAAAAAAAGCTTAAATTACCAAAGCGAAAGCTATTCTCGCTTCATCTTCCCTGAAACGACAGCGTCAGGTACTTCGATCCTTCAATTCTCCCTGAGTTTCTCAGATCTGAATTTTATTTTTCATATTTTTGGACTGCCCATCTCGATCCTTTCAACAAATCGATGAAAGGGGTTGATTTTTAGGGTTCTAAATTCTGATTTGTCGTTTTTGTTTCCGATTTTGTTTTTTGGATGTTGGTTAAGTTAGGGTTAGGGTTAGGGTTTTGATTGTTTATTAATAAAATATGATGAGAAAAATTCGGTTTTCATCTTGGTCTTGCATCTGGGATCTGATTGGATGTGATTATTGGAGTTATTTCTTATTATTTTTGAAGTTTTGAGATTGTTTAAGCTCCGTATTATGCTTTTTAGGACATTTTTGGTTCTGGGTGTTTAGGATTGTTAAGCTTTTGCATTGATATTTGTAGTTGTATTTTGTTTATTAGTAGCAAAAGGCAGTTTAAAGGTAATTTACGTAGCTCAATTTTTGTTTTGTGTTGTTTGGTTTGGCGTGGAAGTTTTTTTCTTTTGCATTCCCTTAGGTTTCTTAGAATCCAAACTCTTATTTGCTTTAAGGGTCGATTTGTTGTTTCTCTTGCTACCTATTTTTTGATATTAGCTTTTTTGCTTCCTACAAAGTTATTTAAAATGCAATAGTAAATGGTAAAATGTAAAAATAACAATTGATTAATAATAAACATATGACTGAAATGCAACATCAATTTTATATAAAAGTAAATTCAACGTTTTTGGTTCTCCAAGAAATTTGCCTTCAGAGTTTATCATAATGGTTCCTTTTATTAGTTTCTCAATTGTGTCTTTGAGAATTTTTTGGGTTTGCAGATTTTCATTGGTGGCTTTTCTTGCTATGGCTGCCACTGCGACTGCCTCTGCTGCTGGTCCACGATATGCCCCGCCAGACCCCACTCTTCCCAAACCATGGAAAGGTCTAGTTGATGGTAAAACTGGTTATCTCTACTTTTGGAATCCGGTAACCAATGTCACGCAATATGAGAGGCCTACAAGCATAGATTCTGTCCCAAAGTTTTCTTCTGTGCCTATAAGTTCTTCGGTTCAAGTTCAGCAATCTTCTGAAGGGCGTCGTGGGTATAGTCCTGACAAGGAGAATGATAGGTATGGAAGAGGCAGCAATGCTGTATCAAAACTTGAGCCAGTATCAAGGAGTAACCAGGTATTTGTTCTAGTTCTGTCCTCTAAATCTGATTTTTGATTGATCCAGTTGTTCTTGTTGCCCTCACTTGAAATTGAAAAATAGTACATTTGTCTTAACTTCTTGATTCCCATTTCTCTCTGGTGGGTAAACTGTTCTGGTTCGCCACTTTTGATTTTGAGACCTGGATTCATGTCATTGATTATTGTTTACATATTATCCCAAGCTACTTGTTTTCTTTTATATCAGACTATTAAAATTTTTAAAGCTTGGGTTTTTCGAAATTACAAAAGTTCAAGCATCTGAGGTGGGAATTTATGAAAGGTGTCTATCTTTTTTCTTCTACATAGGATTAATTTTTTTGTCTTAATTTGCAATAGAATGCAAGAGGTGGACCAGTTCATTCCCTTAATATCCCTAATGGGACTGCCAGCTCTTTGATCGGAGGATCTTCTACTAGGGGACATGGATCAGCAGCTGCAGGAAGTAATATGTCTGGTGATGCTTATCGTCGTCAGCATGAGATAACAGTAACTGTGAGTATCTAGGTGGACAATAAAAGTAGTATATTAACCATCTCACTTTTCTATGTGTATTCAGACAGGTTGGGTTCTTAGAATCTTATTGTGCTTGGGGTATCACTATCCCTTTTGACTCAAATTCTTTTACCCTGAACTATTGTCAGGGGGATGAAGTGCCCTCGCCTTTTACAACATTTGAAGCTACTGGCTTACCTTCTGAGATACTTCGAGAGGTACACTATTCTGATTCTCTTGCATTCTTTTGGTCTTTATGCAACATTTGTGGACTTGAATCTCGTAAGTTAGTCGAACTATGCCAGTTGAATGTTTCTTGTGCAAAGTTCTGTGATTGCTGGAGGTCCCAATCTTGAGCATCAGACTCATGTTAATTCTTTTGCCATCTTTACTTTTTGTCGCAGGTGCGATATTTGCTCCGTGGAGGAGCTAATGTCGTACGCTGTGGTGCCCTCTGTGGGGGGCCTTGCATATAATTTGGGGCGCCCTTATACGGTGGACCAATTTTTGGGAAGGGCTTCTGAAAAGTCCAAGTTCGTGGCCGGGACTGCCGTTGGTGATGATTCAGTCTGCCACTCGGTCCGAACGGAAGAAGAGGCCTCCTCCTGTTCCTGCTTGCATCAGCAAGCGTTGGCCGCATGCATATGGGGGATGATGCTTCTTCTGGCATAATCCTTTCCTCTATAAGTTCTAAAAGAAAACCAACCATAAGTCTTGAGGGCAGTGCTTCTGCTCACGGAGGTTGCTGGATTTTTTTTTGCTTTTAACAGGTACATAATGCTGGGTTTTCTGCCCCGACTCCAATTCAGGCTCAGTCATGGCCAATTGCATTGCAAAGTAGAGACATAGTGGCCATTGCTAAAACAGGATCTGGGAAAACATTGGGTTACCTGATTCCTGGATTTATTCATCTCAAGCGTTGCCGTAATGAACCTCAAATGGGTCCAACTGTGCTAGTATTGTCACCAACGAGGGAGTTGGCTACTCAAATACAAGATGAAGCTCTCAAGTTTGGGAGGTCATCAAGAATTAGTTGCACGGTATGTTACCATTCTGAGTCAGGACTTCATTTTGTTTAATTTTTGGTTTTCGTTTTTTCAGTGTCTTCCAATTTAAATGTTAATGTTTACAAAATTTTTTCTATGGATCATCCACCAATCATTTTTTAACATAGAAGTCTTTTGAAGGTGAAGGTAGAATCATGACTTTTTACTGACTAGAGTTGTCATATGTTTCTGTGCAGTGTTTATATGGAGGAGCACCAAAGGGTCCTCAGTTGAGGGAGATTGAGAGAGGAGTAGATATCGTGGTTGCCACTCCTGGCCGATTAAATGATATTCTAGAGATGAGGAAAATCAGCCTCCATCAAGTTTCTTACCTTGTCTTAGACGAGGCTGATCGCATGTTGGACATGGGTTTTGAACCTCAGATACGGAAGATTGTTAAAGAAGTGCCTACTCGCAGGCAGACTCTCATGTACACGGCAACATGGCCAAGGGAAGTCCGGAAAATTGCAGCAGATCTACTGTTAAATCCTGTTCAGGTCAACATTGGCAATATTGATGAGCTTGTGGCAAACAAGTCTATCACGCAGGTTTGAACCCCACTACTGCTAATCCTGATTTTGTTCTTAGCAAAATTGGGATTTTTACCGTTATATAATACTAGTTATGATTGTGCATGGCTTTTTTGTGGCATAGTTACCAAGAAATTTAACATTCTGTTAACTTGCAGTATGTTGAAGTATTATCACCAATGGAGAAACACAGAAGATTGGAGCAAATACTGCGCTCCCAAGAGCCCGGATCCAAGATTATTATTTTTTGTTCAACCAAGAAGATGTGTGATCAACTTGCTCGCAACCTTAGTCGCCAGTTTGGAGCTGCTGCCATCCATGGAGACAAATCTCAGGCTGATAGGGACTATGTGCTGAGTCAATTTCGCACTGGGAGGTCACCAGTGCTTGTTGCTACTGATGTTGCTGCTCGGGGATTGGACATTAAAGACATAAGGTAGGGATTGGGATTTCTGACACACAGTTCCATTGCTTTATACTGTTATAGCTTTTAAAGGAGCCACTTATGTTAATGCTGGACACTCTTGGTCCTTAATGTTTTCTTGGTGACTTTATTAGATCTGCTGTGTAAATATATCATGGTAATGGTTAAACTAATTAATCTTTCACAGGGTGGTAATCAACTATGACTTCCCTACTGGAGTTGAGGATTATGTGCATAGGATTGGGAGGACTGGAAGGGCAGGTGCAACTGGATTGGCTTATACATTCTTTGGTGATCAAGATTCAAAGTATGCTTCAGATCTCATCAAAGTTCTAGAAGGAGCAAACCAGCGGGTGCCTGCAGAACTTCGTGATATGGCTTCGCGTGGTGGTGGGATGGGAAGGCCTAGACGTTGGGCTCCCAGTTCTGGTGGCCGTGATGGGGGACGTGGTGGACGTACTGATTCAGGGTATGGAGGAAGGGACAGTGGAAGGGGTGGTCGAGGAATATCTACATCCTCCTCTAGCTGGCATGAGAGAAGTGGAGGACGTGGATATGACCACGAGTCTCGTGACAGGTATGTTGGTGTTTTCTTTTTCATTTTTTTTTTATGTCTGTTTTGGATACATTAGGGGGCCAATAAGCTTGAGCTATACAACATAGCTAGTGCTCTACATCCGGTTTAAGCCCTACAATCTAGTTAAATCCATCCTCCATTCATCGGGTCTAAACATTAGGCTTACAAGTTGAAAGTCCCAAATACTAACTGTTAAGGTGGCTCTACAAGTTGAAAGGCCCAAATACTAACTGTTAAGGTGGCTTCTTGGTAAAGTCCCAGATACTAACTGTTAAGGTGGCTCCTTGGTGATACATTGTAGGTGCTTTTTAGTTTATTTCGATGCTTCTTTTAAGGTTTTTTTTTTTTGGGGGGGGGGGTATGGGTTTTGTTTGGTTGTGGTCTGGGCAACTGTGCAATCTTGAGGTTATATCTGTTGTTTACTGGGGTTTTGAATTTTAATAATATAATATTCTGTTATTGCTGCCGGATTTATTGCAGAGCATTGTGCTTTTTTTTTGAAAAGCAGAGCATTATTCTTCTTGGCAAAAGTATGGATGGACATGATTTCCCACACTGTCCTTCAGTAGTGAATTTAGAATTCATTGCAATCTTGGAATGGAACTTGTCTAAGTTCACCTATGTTTATTAACCCTGTTGTTATATATGAGCAGGTATGATCGTGGTTTCCATGACAGTTATGATAGGGGACGGAGTCGGAGTCGAAGTCGAAGTCCTGCGGGTTGGGGTGATCGCAATAAAAGCAGTGGCCGTGACCGCAGCCGGAGTCGTAGCCTGGACAAGCATGATAGAGCTGCTGGACGTGAACGTTCCCCAGTGCGGAGTTTTCATGAGGCAATGATGAAACGTGGTCGGTCATCCCCACCACAACAGCATGGGCCACCTTTTGGTGATGAGGTTTCAAGGGAACACAAAAATTTTGTGGCTTTGCGGAGCCCTCCTCATGAGAGGTCAAGGTCACCTTATGGTGGTGGTAATGGAAGGGACAACTTTGGAGGATCATACGGTGATTCTCAGAAGGATCGGGGAAGATCAGGATATGCTAATGGGTTTCGTACAGGTTTCGGAGATGAGGAGGAAGGCATGATTGCAGCTGATGAAGATGGGATAATACCTCCCCATGCTCACTGATCTCCTTAATGTGAGAATTGAGGGATTTTGGTGGTTTTATCTAGCCTTCTGGTGTTGTCTAGTTTCTGGGTTTTTGGTTTTAGTTATATGTAGCCCCAAGCAAGGGCTGTTTGCAGCAGGCAAGGCATAGAAGTTTCAGAAATTGACATTACAAGGCATTTTTTGTTTTTTTCTTTGATTTTCTAGTTTCTAGTGTTAGATGACTCAACCGGGAAAGTTTAGAAGTATTTTGGTGGGAGTTTAAAAGAGGGGGTAGGCAGAGCTGAAATGTAATGATGTGCAAGGATGAACCTTGAGAAAATCTTCTGATGTATTGGTTGTGTAATTCTATGAAATGTGAAAGGATAGCTCTCACAGTGGCTCTGCCAGTATAGTTAAAAGCTAATTGGATTCAAATGTTTGCTTCCAGGTTGCTACCCTTTTTGTATTTTCTGTCGTCAGGAATGGACAATTAGTTTGTCTCCTCTGCTGCTTCGGTTTGTCGCCCAAGTGGACCCTCAATTTTCCTCTCTCCCCTGCTTCTTCCAGATGGGAGGATGTTTCTCACTTCTGCCCCTTTATTAATCTCTAAAATCGTAATATCTTATTGAAAACCGAACCTTAATAGTATAGCACTATTTACGAATTACATGAATTTGTTATTAGTTTGCAAAAAGGAAGTTGATTAAAATGATGAAGGGTGTGTTGAATGCAAGGAGAATAAAAAATTTGAAATATTATATATGATATTAATGTCTATATTGGCTATTCTAAGGGTGATACCGAAACTTACCCGAATCCGAATTGAGTATTAAAAGCATTATCTGAATTTGTTTTATAACCAAATATAAGGTACTCGAATTTTATTTTATTGAGTTGAATGTCGTGAATACTCATATGACAATCCATTTACATCTCTAATCCAAATGGAGTTTTAATTATTGTTCTCTTTACAAAGGAGAATTAAAAAACCGAAAGCAGAGTGAATACGATTTCAAAGGACATTTGTCCCCATCAATTTCATTAAGTCTATTAATTAGTGAAATTTTAAATCATATAACAAAGTCATAATATTTTAAAAAGTTCTTGAATTATTTTAAAAAATTTAAATAAATTTTTATTCTTCTATTATATAAACAAGCTTTATATTTTTATTTTAGATCAAATATATTCTTATGATTAATTGTTAACTAACTATTATTAGTTAAAATAATCTATATCATTAATTTTTATATTCATATGATGTTGATGTACATGATGAAACTATCATGTGATCATGTCATTATTCATTATGGTATATGAGTTTGTCATGTGGCATAAAAAATGAAAAGTGTCATTTTATTAGTCAACAATTAATTATATGAACTTATTTAATTTAAAATAAAAATATAAAAATATTTATCTAACAAATAAAAGAATCAAGATTTATTTAAATTTTTCAAAAAAATTTAAAATATTTACCTAGGTATTATATTTAGGACAAATTATGAAAATTTGGTGGAAGGGCTACCATATGGCATCCTTCCAAGTCCCAACTAAGTTTTTTTTTTTTAATTTTAAAACATATCCTTTTTATTTCTTTGTTTTTTCTTTCAAAAAAGTTGAGTGGAAGAGACGTCATGTGACGTCTACATAACTCAAAAATGTTAAACTTATTTGATTCAAAATAAAAATATAAAAATTTGATTAAATATAATAAAAAAATTATTTTGAATTTTCATAAATAGTTTAAGACCTTTTTTAAAAGTATTATGTTTTCTAAAATTTAATGTTTTTGACACCATATGTGAGATGAACCAGAGACGATCATAATGCAATAAAATATTCTCCTAGCCTCGTCAATTTTTTCTTATTGTAACCAAATAAATAGATAAAGATATAATATCTAAAAAAAACTCTTAAACTATTTAAAAATAAATAAATAAGTCTTTATACTTTTATTGTGTTTAATCAAATTTTTATACATTTATTTTGACTCATAAATAAAAACATAATATATAAAAAAACTTTCAAACTATTGAAAAAAATTTAAATACACCTTTATGCTTTTATTACATTCAATTAAACTCTTATATTTTCATTTTAAGTCAAATAAATCCTTATATTTTTGAGTCAAATTTATAATTAATGATTAACTTAGTTAAAATGTTATTTGTCATTTTATGTCACGTGACTCTGATGTGATATATTAACTTATTATAATTGATACTGATGTAACATATTAATTTGACATAATAACTTGATTATGTGATATTTTTTCATTCTTCACATCAACGCTATGTCAGTTTATGTGATTATAAAATAACAAGTGATATTTTAACTAATGATAATTACTTAATTATTAGTTAAATATAATAAAAAAATAAAAAATTTATTTTAAATTTTTTTACTTAATTTAAGAGTTTATTTAAACATGATCGCATTGATGGTCAACACTAGAGCATTGGGTTAGACTTTAACCATTGGTTCGTACTTCCGACCCATGACGTTGTAATTTTAGAAAACATAGCCTCATCCTAAAAGAAAACCTACGCAGCCATACAAAACACGTGACCATTCCTACAAGAGTAGTCGGAGTTAGGAAACTGATTCCGGCTAATCAATGTGGACAGTGTCCCACGTTTTATTTATTTATTTGTTTATTTATTTATTTTTGATAATTTCATTTTCGATGATGCATCATCCTCAAGTTAAAAAAATCTTAACGCTAACAATTTCCAGCTAAGAATTAGATTTACTGCTACAATAATGTAGATAAAGAAATATCAAATTACCAAAATTTTTACTTTTAAAAGACAAATTTAGTCCCTATTTATCTAATAGATATTAATTTTTTTTACTTAATCAAGTAGATTCATTCTATTATATATAAAAAGATTGATACAAAGTCAGATTTATGTTAAAATTAAACAGATCAAAAAAAAATTTATCTCAGTAAAGTGCTATTTGAACACTTTACAAAACAAAACAAAAAATTGATATTAAAATGACCACAATTTTGACTTTCAAAAGACGAATTTAGTCTATATTAATTTATGAAAGGAACACATTAAAAGCTAGTCATTATTGTTCTTAAGACTGTTGTAAATTAATTTGAAAATTTGTATTTATACCTTGGTAACAAAGTTTTTGCTTCTCACACACTTCAACAGGCCAAGTCTTGGAGTGAAAGAAGCAAAAAATTGGAGTGACAATAGAACTAAAGATGACATCCAAATCCAACACGTAACTGTAAATTTCTTCGTCTTCTTCTTCTCTCTTTCTTTTTTTCTTTTTTAAAAAATTTATATTTAACAGAATTTTGGCACAAATTAAATAGAAATTTATTGAGGGTCATTTATTAGGCTTAAAATGGAAAAGCATTAAATGTTCAGTTACAAAAGGGGAGAAGGTGCTTTTAGTGTTAATTCTTGACACATTGCCTATTGCATTAGTCATGGCCTTCAACGCCAACCCCTCCCCAGGTTTCAACCTAACCATTCCCTTATAAGGACAAAAGTTATGGTTTCAATGACCTTTGTTTGAAATTACTTTACTACCCCTTATTACCAAAACAAACAAAAACCCACATGTTTTTTTGGGTTTACCTACCCCGTACATTGACGAGGAACCAAGATAACGACAGGTGGACTGGTGGGGATGGTCGTAACTCTTTAATTTTTTTATTTTTAATTATTATATAAATAAAAATTAAAATATATTAAAATTTATAATTTTTTTAACGAATCAGAGCGATAAAAAAAATTTATAATCTTTTAATCACTCTTTTATATAAAATCTTGAATCCATCATTATTATTATATATATATATATATATATTATAATTTATGAAAATTTACTATTTATGGCTAAAGATCTTATCTAAGTTTTTGGGTTCAAAAGTTCATATATATATACTTAATTTTTCATTTGATGTCCCAAGTATTCAAAGTGTGAAGTTAGTGTTAATGGAAGATTTGACTACACTTGACATATTCTTTGGCTTTGGTTGAGAAAATAGTTCAAGAGAATTCATAAAGAAGAGGTACCCAAAATTTGTTCACTCACAAATAGTTGGCAACTATAAAGGCTTAGAGCAACAAAGCATTGAAAGAGGGTATTGAAGACAAAAGGCAAAAATTAACATGCAAAAATAAGCAATTCATTGGGGCCCCACAACACAAAAGAGAAGAATCAAAGAGTGACCCCACCTTGAGCAAATCCTCTTCCACAATGACAACCGTTTGATTGGTCCTAAAATTTGTATAATCTTTAGCTTTTGATGCCCATTAAAGGGCTCTAAATTTGACAAGAAAAAGAAAGGAGATGAACCCAAAAGAAGAGAGAAAAGGGGAAGGGAAAAATGATGGGGTTGAGGGCATTTTTAGGCTTGAAAAGAATCGAAGGACCTCTCCATGTCTTCCACGTATCGTCTCAATTAGTCCGAGAATTTTCCCTAAAATACAAATCCTTATAACGAACTAATGATTAACTGGACCCTTTTGCCCTTTGCAACACTTAGGCTTTGAAGCTTAACAGTCACAATCAACTTTCAATATTAACCCTTGCCTTGCCATTTCATCAATGGCCTAGGATGTTGCCAAGTATTCAAAGCCTTTCTTTGCTCTCTTCTTTCCTTTCGTTTTTATTTCTCCAATTATAAAAAGGCCCATAGGAATATAACCCATTAAAAACCATTTATAAACCATTATAACCCTTTCAAAAACATTAAACCACCCTCCCCTTTCTTGAGCTTCTCTTTCTCTCGACTGCATGGAGTTTGAAACAAGCCTGAGAGAGGATTTCCCTTTCCTTTCAAACCTTTTCTCTGATAATTCTCCCCTGAAACCTGACTTCGGAAATGGTTTTCCCTTGGATGGTTCGTCCTCTTCCAAAGGGTTGCTTCACAACTTTATCCTTCCTGACCATAGTCACTACTCCCCCAGTGTCAACAATGGCCCTCTCTTGAATCCACACCATTTTCATCAGTTTCCCGCTGAAGGGTCATCAAGGAATCCCTTTTTCGGGGTTTCCTTGACATGCACCGATGCTTTCGAGCCTTATGTCAATGGATTTCCGAATGATCTCAATGCTTACATCCCTTCCTTGGCTTTTGCACCAGATGGTGTCAATAACAATGTCTTTTTGCAGGGTTTTCAGAGTGAAGGCTGCTGGGATTTTTCTCAGAAAGTTCCACCTCAACCCCTGCAGCCTGAAACTCAGACTACTTATCAGCCTCTGATTTTTCAGGATCAAGAAGGACCGGTGGCTGCTAAGGTGGCTGATGAAGTCTCATGCGTCACCGGAGATCAAAATGGGTATCAAGACAAAGTTGATCAGAAGAGGGACAAAAGGTTCCAGACCAGGAGATGTTACAAAGCTCCTAAGAAATCTAATATCATCAAAGGCCAATGGACTCCTCAAGAGGACAGGTAACACACACACACACAAATTTCTGTTAGTTTATTTGTCTTCTAGGAAAATTCATTTTGTTATATCGTACTTGATTAGGGTTTTGAGTTTTGTTGTTTTAGTTATATCTATGAAGATCTGATTATGCCAATCTCTTTTCCTAGACTGCTTGTGCAGTTGGTAACAAGGCATGGAACCAAGAAATGGTCTCTGATCGCAAAGATGCTGAATGGGAGAGTGGGAAAGCAGTGTAGAGAGAGATGGCATAACCATCTGAGGCCTGATATCAGGGTTGGTTTTTTTTACCATATTTTCCCCTTTCCTTTCCTTCTTTTATCTCCCATTTAGACATTAACCATACACATACACATACATGATCATGTGTATATACTTACAAACCTGTGTATATATGTATATGTGTGCATACACGTGCATACTTTTTTATCATATATACATTCATGCATACTTATATATCCATACATTGTGTGCATACATGGCTATGTATACAGTATTTCACTTTTTTTTTTTATTTTGAGAATTTTATGTATAGTATTTCTTTCATTGACACGCGGTGATAGATGAATGAAAGTTAACACGTAAGATTTTTGGTTATTGTTATATATTTGTTGACTCGTTTTGTAAAGTACTTGAATACTTACCATGTTAATCACTTGTCCTTACCTGTATGACAACGCATTCTCATGCATGCTGATGTGTGCTAGGTTGGACCGGGATTTTATTTAATTAGATCTTATCATCAAAATAAATTGTGAAATCCAAAATTAACTAAACGAGACTAATGTCCATATATAGGTGTTTCTGAAGATAAGCACGTCCAATTCATTCTCTTACAAAAATTTTATAGTTTTGAGTAAGGAGATAATTATAAATATTAAACCTTGTTTTATCAGTCCATTGGGTTGGACCCAAAATTTCATGCCTTAATGTTCAATTAGTTAGAACCACTATAACCATGCATGTAATTGGACGTGCATTATTCCTCATTTGGTAGGACAAATTATGTCTAATTTAAATGATATATATTATTTATTTTATATAATCCTTGGAAAAGCAAGTGGATTATTCTGATAATTCACCCTTTTTATATCGCATGCAACAAAAATGCCTTGCTGTGTTTGCAGAAGGATTCGTGGAGCGAAGAAGAAGATAGGATTCTGATTGAAGCACATAAAGAAATAGGGAACAAGTGGGCTGAGATTGCCAGGAGACTACCAGGACGCACCGAGAACACTATAAAGAATCATTGGAATGCAACCAAGCGAAGGCAATACTCAAGGCGCAAAGGCAAGGACTCCAACCCCAAGGGCTCCCTTTTGCAAAGCTACATCAAGTCCGTGAGTTCAACCTCGACCCGAAAGGACAAAGGGAAAAGGGTCATGGAAGCCAATGCTCAGATGCTGATAAACAACAACCCAGCAGCAACAAATCCGCAAGCAGTTCAAGTCCAAAGCTCAGATATCAACCCAAAGGATTGGCCAGTTGCGGTTTACAATGCCCAAGCTGATCATGATCAGCCCATGAATTTCTCGTTCGACACAAGTGTTTTCGGTGAAAGCTGCACCGCTAGCTTTGAATCGATGCTCGAAGAGGTTCCTTCTGGTTCCGTTGTTGAAGAGAGCAATGCCGTTATGGATTTTGAGCTGCCCCTGGAAATGGATTCCAAGAAGAAGGAGCTGGATTTGCTGGAGATGATCTCTCAAGGAAATCTCTAATCAGCTGCTTGCAAATTGCAAACAAAGAAACCAAAAAAACTTCTTTAATTTGGATAAAACAGTATTTTAGCAAGAAAATGAGGGTGTAATTAAGTAACAAACAAAGTTACATACATACATGCTCGTCATTTTCTCGTGACTATATTTATAGGGTTTATAAGGACTTTAATTTGCTTGTTAAGGTTTGTGTGTTTTTAAGTTATGTCGTGGTTTAATTTCTGTAATGTTTCGTATGTTATATATATATATATAAATAATGTTGGTGTTTTTCTTTAATTAGTCACATGAAAAATGTGCCAAACCCTTAATTAGTTTTTTCGTTTTCTTACCGGATAATAGAGCATTAATATTTAATTTAACGATTCTCTCCTAAATTTAATAGCTGCATGTGTACGGAATTAGCGCTAGGGTCCATCAATGTTTTTTAGGGAGCATATCAATTTTATTAGTGTAATTATTAGTTAAATTTAAACTCATGCGGGATGATAGTTTCATTTTACATTTAGAATAAAAACAACAACATAATATAGAGTGTGATAAAAATTAATTTGGAAACATATATGCTAAAAAATAATATTTAAAAATCTTAACATTTAAAAAAAAATAAAGGAATAAGATTTAAAAAAGTCCCTAAATTATTAAAAAAAAATTCAAATAAGCCTTTGTATTTTTATTATGTTCAATCAAGCCTTAAACTTTTATTTTGAATCAAACAAGCCATTGCGACTAATGATTGATTTAATCAAAAACCCTATTTGTCATTTTATATCACATAGTACTGACCTGACATGCTAACATGTTATAATTGATGATGATGTGACACACTACTATAACATGAAATATAACAATATGGTATTTTTCACCTTCCACATCAACGTTATGTTAGTGCCATGTAGATATAAAATGACAAGTAGCATTTTAACTAATAGCAATTATTCAAATATTAGTTATAAAGGTTTATTTGATCAAAAATAAAAGTATAGGGGCTTGATTGAATGTAATAAAAAAATAAAAATTTATTTGAATTGTCTTAAATAGTTTAGAGTTTTTTTGAGTATTATGCTAAGAATATATAATTTTTTCCCCTAATCAAAGGAGACATTTTATTAACATCAAAGTCTACTGCAAGCATGTGAAGCAGTTTGGTGAAAACAGTCTTAAAGAGGAAAAGAAAACACAAATGAAAAATAATGAAAAACCTATAAATCCAAAATTTTAAGGATAACAATTGACAACATTTAGACTACTATCAAATATAAAACAGTTCTGATTTGTTCACTCCATATTTAGTTAAAGAATCAATGCAAGTATTAGTTTCTTTGAAGGTATGCACAAAAACAATATCCAAAGGCTGTCAAATTCATTTATTCTATGATCTTGCATGTTTGTTGCACACCTAAAAAATTGTCATTTTAGAGTCAAACTCCACATAAGAATCTTTTGCCTCTCTTGAGATGATGCATTGAGTAACTAGAGAGCAATTTTGATTGCCATTACTTCACCAAAGAATTAGAATATTGTACTTCAAGCAGTTAAAAGAAAAGTACAGTCACTAAACTTATTGAGTCTCTTGAATCCCCTCTACATCTTGCAATTTTAAGTTTACTTTTGGTAGAACCATCAGTATTAAATTTAAGTTCATCTTCCTTTGGAGGAATCATACAACGTCAGTTTTAAATTTCATAACATGACTCATGGGGAAGGGGGGAGCATATCAATTTTATAAGTATAATTATTAGATTTAAACTCATGTGATGTAGGATGATATTTGCATTTTGCATTTAGATTAAAAACAACAACATAATATAGAGTATGATAAAAATTAATTTGAAAACATATATGTGAAAAATAATGTTTAAAAAACTTAACAATTAAAAGAATAAAGGTATAATTTTTAAAAAGTTCCTAAACTATTAAGGAAAATTCAAGTAAGTCTTTGTATTTTTATTACGTTTAATCAAGTCTTTGAGTCAAATAAGAACATATGGCTAATGAATGACTTAGTCAAAATACTATTTGTTATTCTATACTACATGGTGCTAATGTGATATGTTAATATATTATAATTAATGATTTTTTTTTTTGCTCAGCCAATTAAGAAGTTTCATTAATGATAGAATAGTTACAAAAGGTTACCCTAATGTCATAGGTACAACAACTGCAGCAAAGGATGAAATAAATATCTATTGTTGGAGGAAGAAAGTAAAGGACGTACAGCACCTGAAATCATAAACGTCTGACAAGATCACCACCAAGCTGAGAATGAAGTGTCTTTATCAACTCCATGCCTTGCTAGAGAGTCAGCGAAACTATTGTCTTCTCTATAGATGTGATTGAAGGACACTGTACCAAGTGAGACACGTAAAGAATCAATCTCATTAAATATGCTCCATTTATCCCAAGGTCGCTATTCGATAGAATTAACCCATGTGAGAGCGACTCTTGAATCAGATTCAATAATTAGTGGTGAGGTCGCATAGGGTGAGGCAGCAATTAATGATGATGAGGCATTTTGATATATCATAATTGATAACATGGCATAAAACATGACAATGCGATATTTTTCACCCTCCACATCAACATTATATTAGTATCATATAGATATAAGATGACAAGCGATATTTTGACTAAGTACAATTATTCAACCATTAGTCATAAGGGATTATTCTTGCACACCCTAAAAATTACCACTTTAAAATTAAACTCCACATAAGAATCTTTGGCCTCACTTGAGATGATGCATTGACTAACTAGAGAGCAATTTTGATTGCCATTACTTCACTAGAGAATTACGATACTATCTTTCAAGTGGCTAAACAAGATTACAATCCCTGAACCTCTTGAGTCTCTTGAAAGCCCTCTTCATCCTGTAATTTCAAGTTTACCTTTAGAGGAATCATCAACATTAAATTTAAGCTCATTTTCCTTAAGAGGAATCATGCAACTCCTGTTTTAAATTTGATAACATGACTCATAGATAGGGAAACCTATTGGTTTGACCACAACCCAAATTCATCAAGACTACCATTATCTTCAATTGATTTTATCTAGCTCATTGACCTTTTGATCATAAATAGAATTTCATCACCATCCCATGCTTTATTATTAAACAAAACATAGTTCTTTACAATCTATAAAGATTGAAAAGTAGCACCATAAACCGCTAACTATCTTTCTTTGAAGGTACCAAACAAAATAATATTCTCACAAGACTTCATAAAACTTTTCACAAAATTATGAGCAACCTAGAATAATCCTAACCATTTAAAAGTAGAACTTTAAACAATCTAAGTAAAACATCATGAAATAAGACTATGATTGCCATCTTCCTCACATAGCCACACCAATTACATAAACACCATTATTCTCAAAATTAGCACCTCATGATTTCAAAAATTTTTTCCCTCAGATGCAATTCAAGATAGCAAACGGCAAGAGTTTTAGCTTTTGATAGATATTTCTGAATTGAGTAAAACCATACATGTTGTCTTTGAGGTACTACATAATGATCCATGGTTGTTGTCAACTTCTTTACCGAGAAAGACTCTTTGCCATCAAGCTCCCATATCAATTTGAACTCTTTATCCTCATCAAAACAAACATCCTCAGATTGATAGATCAAAGTTTCTCAAAGAGATCATTTCCTTTTCAAAGAGTTGTCCTTAAAATTGTAAATCCCACATCTTATGCATGATGGTTCAAGGCCTCAACCATTCGCATCTCATTCCCAAAAGCTAAAGAGAATAGTCTTGGAAGAGTCTCTTTCAAAAGGTTTTGTCTAACCAAAAGAAAACTTCTTTACCATTCCCCACCATCTATTTACACCCATTATTGCCTAACCATTTATCGCATCATTAAGACAACACCATATAAAAATTGTTGTGATAAAAGGAAAGCAAAATAGAATAATAGTTTTTAAAGTAATCCCACAACATTGATGCCACAAATATGCAACATAAGGGTTAAGACAAGGTAAAAAATTTGTGTGGGTCTCCAATAGTAGATGAAAATTAATGAAAGTCATTTCCCTTAAAGGATTCTAAGAAAAATGGATAAGTATAAGATTCTAGAGCATCAATAGGGAGTTGGTGCAATGTTTTCAACTTAGGAGAGTAGAATAGTGAACCTATTTGATGTCAAAAGGACTAAAAGGTTGTTGAGAAATTACCTTTTTTTTGCACACCTGCCTTTTTTAGGCCATCAATAAAAAAAATGGCCTCTTTGGAGGTACATTAGAATGTGGTATTGCTACACCAATTTTTGGCAATGTCCAGTTAATTTGGGATAAGTCGAAGCCTTCATAGGATGTTGGAGTTGCTTTTGTGTAGGTTTTTAGACTTAAATAGAGTTCAACACAACCTATCAGAGAAACACTTTACCATGAATGAGAATGGAAAGATCCTTTGCCTCTCCAAAAGTTGATATCTTGGCCTCAAATCTCTCAAGTATGCTTACTAATACCTTCTCCACTATCCTTTAATCATTCAACTCAACTCCAAGTAGCCTAACTTGGTTCACTATCTTCATGAGTTTGCCAACATATTCCTTCATAACCTCACTTTCCTTCATCTTGAGAACTTCAAATTGACTCATTAGGTTCAAAACCTACCTTTGCTTGGTCCTATTTGACCTTTGAAACTCTTGCATAAGCTTATCCCAAGTTTCTTTTACTTTTGCACAAGCTATGATCCTTGTGAAAATAGTGTCTATCACAGTATTGTGAAGATAGGACACGACCTTGTATCTCTTAGCCATTTCTTCACTATGTTACCTCATTTGTGCTATAATGGGATTAGCTCTCTGTTCAGGAGGCTTTCTTCCTTGTTTAAATATTTCGTAAAGGTCAAATGCTATGAGTAAGGCTTTTATTTTGACCATCCACATAACAAAGTTTTTACCATTGAAACTTGGTGGTGAAAAGGATGAATTGCTACCACTTGAAGCCATGTCTTGATCAAGGAGTGCTTTTAGTTTTTCTTTGTGAAGGACTTAAGGTATGC